AGGAATAGCTGCACAGTTAAGGCACCTTCTATCTTATCTAGTAAGGTGGAGTTGGCTCCCCATGTGGGACCCCTTTTGAACTCATAGGTCTTGCTTGATGAGCAGGTAAAAGCTATGACCAATAGGGCATCTTCATAGCTCTATCTTAGGTGCCAGTGAAAGGAGAATGGACGTTACTTACTAATGCCTTAGTCACCTCTTGATTGGACTATACATGAGGCTACTCTTAAAGGACTCTGTGAAACTACAGCTGGTTTTGAATATGGAGGCAACAGTAGTGATATGGGTACAACCTAAGACACCTTTGTAACAGCTCTACTTTGAGTGCTTCGTTGGCTGCCAATTAATTTCTAAATGCCACTCAAGGTGCTAGTAATCATCTTAAAGTCTTCCACCTCTTCACCAAATAGCATCTGATAAGTTTCAGTAGGGCAGGCTCCCCACATGCCTCCCTAGTGAGAAATTGCCACTATGGAAGCCTATTGTTCTAGCCACCTCAACCCAATATTATGGTTATGACTCTCAGTTTTATGATTACTGTCCTTTTTAATGTAATATGTATTATTGTTTTAACCCCAGTTGCACACTGGGGAGTTATACACAGGCCATGATCAGCTGGCTGGACGAGCTATAAGCTCTGTAAATAGACAAATTAATAAATAAATTTCCTGGTGGCATTTATTTTTGTTCAGGCACAGCAAACTTGTGGATAGGAAGATGCAAATTGGTAAATAACAACAACAAAAACCCTGCCCCCTTTTCTGTCCCCTAGGATAGTATTCCATGGTGGCAAAAAAAATAAAAATAAAAATCAAGAAAAATCACAATTCTTTATAATTCTCCTTGTAATTAATGGATGCTTTTTAAAAAAATTTAAATAAATTCAGGAATCTTTTTATTCTGCTTTTTTTTCTTTGATAGCTAAATGTCCCTGCTACAGCCTTTAAAATTCAAATGACTCCAATGTGGGATTGTTTAAAGATGTCATTGTTGCTACTTGTGCAGACTTTTAGTAATATACTTTTCTCAGAGTTTGAATGGTGAATCTTTGATTAACACAATCCAGATTTAATTTTAAAGTTTATAGTATTGCAAAGTAATAAGGGAGTAGGATGTCCAACTTTATTTCCAGCAGAATCTTTGTCAAAAATATTTTATAAAGAACATACCTAAGGTTTGGCAAGACAAGAGCTACAGATTAGTTCACATCTCAAGGGTGATTATTGCACTCTACAGTTTGAGGACTTTTAGTATGAATTATTTAAGTGAATAGCTATCCTTGAAACCTCGGATGAAAAATCATGTTGTTGCATTTCACCAGGATCTGTTTATCTGTCCTTGAAATAGATCGGTTTTATCTACATGATCCTGGCCTTTAAAAGAAACATATTCAGATTATTTCTCTATGTAGAGCATAGAAGGCATGGCCTCTTTATGTGTCCTTTGTACTATAATATACTCTACATATACTCTTATCTGAACAATATTTTCTAATGAATAATGTAGATTATAATGATTCTGATAAGACATTCCACCAGATTATTTTATATATTTATACTCAAAGATGTCTTTGGTCTGTTCAGCATCTATAAATGCAAGCTAAATCCTGCTTTTATTTACAATGGAAATAAAAATCCGGATGTATACAGTAGCGTCAATCCACCTCAGGATTTATTTATTTTTTTGGTCTTCCTGATACCATCTATTATGTCTTCATTTGACATAAGCAATGACTAATAGTGGAATGTCTTTACAGTCTTTTCAGCCATATCTAATGGAATGCAAGAAGCCACAAAAGGCAATTAGATGCTGCAATATTGGCTATAACCTGCATTCACACCAAGTCAACTGGAAGTATGAAGTCATCCAGTCACTTCAAAGATTTCCTTTTCTAGAAAATGAAGGGGAAATTAATGGCCATTCCTTTCAGTGGTTTGTGCCACAGGGCATCTCGCTCTGTTGCCAATCCAGGCAATCTTAACAAAGGTGCTATAAAAACAGTATGATATTAAATGACATTTTTGCCAGTGACAAAGAATGTACTTAGTGATGTAAGTTTTGAAGCAGCAAAGAAAACACAACAGCAAGATACTTCATGAGAAGACTGTGGGTTCTAGTGCACTTTAGGCATGAAAGCCAGCTGGGTGGTTTGAAGCTAGTCACCTAGAAATAAGAACAGCAAATGCCACATACCGGTAATACAGAGAGAACATGTGAAGAGCCAGTTCAGCACAAGCATAATTTCATGAATTTTAGTTAGTAGAGATCACAGCAGAAACCAGCTGCCTCTGTTAAATTGATATGTCGAGGCCATTGAGAAAACAATGACCAATAACATAAAATGAAAATACAATGTATCTTTGAAAACTTACTTCCATAGCCACACCAGCTGTATTATATAAGGGAACATAGTATTATTTTCTGGAGAAATAATAAAATCAATCTTAGCTGGTATTTCATATTGATTTATGTGGCTTTTTCAGTCATTTATTCTTCCAATTCAAGTTTCAGATTTACTTGGAAGAAAGTAAAGGAAAGATTGCCTTGAAACATCACATGTTTTACTCAGGAACTGAAATAGATATATTCGTTTGGCTCTAGTGTTATTAAATGCAAGTTTTCCCTTCCCATCAATGTATTGTAAGTACAGACTGGTTAATGGCAAATCATTTTTTTTTTTACATTAGTAAAATGTGAATGCCATGGACAGGATTTAGAGATCACAAACTGTTGGGTGTGTCTTGGAGGCTTTTCAGGTTGTGTTGTGATGGCTCTCATGGCAAACATTAATTTGAAGTTTTGAACTGCAGACAATTTCATACTGCAGTCTAAATTTCTTTCCCATGCTGCCTCCAGCCATTTCTTGAGCCAATTTAAGAAACTCCATTGTAAGACCTGATTGGTCATTTTTCTACTTTGTAGCAAGGAAGACCAGATATGAAGACAAGATATGAGGACTCCTTATTTGCTAGCTCTGATGATGTTATCTGGTCTGTTAACGAAATGTCTGCAAAAAAAACCAACAACCAAGCTCAGAGAGCACCAAAGTTTCAATCCTGAGCTACAAATATTCTTCTTTATAAGAACAGATATTTCAGATTTATTTATTTATTTGAAAAAAAAACATGTTTTTTAAAAATAAAGACAATTTTGTAGGGTGGGAGTGAAAAAGCAAGGAGACCACCTTTCACCCATATTGGTTAGGAACAGAAAGGTTACCACAGGGTGACGTAAGGATTATGTTTCTAGGGTTGAGGATAGTTCATTGATTTAATGGGCCATCACTGGGTCCACCACAAGATTACTAAGAAACAAAGCAAAAAGAGCAAATGTCAACCATTAGAAAACACCACCAAGGACAAAATGACTTCACGGGGCAGCAAACAGCCACTGAAGGGGAAGGAGCTTGGCAGGCTCTGCAGCCAATCAAAGCTAAGGCTGGTATAGAATAGAATGAGACTCTCTGCTCTGAAGGGGTTAAGATATCCAGCTTTAATTTAAAAACCCTTATTTTTTTAATTAAAGCTGGAAGACACAAGCATGGGGCATATTTGCAATGGACCTGGAATGGGAGGACATCACCTATTCTTGCAATCAGGGAACAGTGAGTGGGCCATACAAGTGATGGGCTGAGTACAAAGTGGGGATGTGACTATCAAAATCAGATGACTCCTGGAGTAAGGGGAAATAAGAGAGAATTAGACATGCCCATTAAATGAATCTGAGCCATGTCTTTCGGGAGATTCCCCTTGATTACAAAAAATGAGATACAAAGGATATTTATTCAGGAAGAATCAGAGGAAGAAAACTTTCCATCTGCGTTTCTCCCATTCCTCCTTATAACTTCCTATCATCCCTCCCCTGAGCATCAATAATAATAAGCAAAGCTAACATAACGTGGATGCTCAGAAAGAAATATAACCTGGGTAATGGGATTAAGACATGACCCTCCAGGACATAATGGGATTATCTAGCAGCAAGGCTCACTGCATTGCAAAATCACCTGGGGACATTGTATCATCCTCCAGGCTTCAACCAAACTTGATTCGGACAAACATGACCCCACATGGCTCCATGGGAGTCTGACTATAGCCAATAGAACACATTTCTTGCCACAGGAACAGGAAGCTCAAGGGCAAGGCCCAAGGGAGGGTATAAATAATCCTCACTCTCTACTCCATGTGTTCAGCTGCCCAGGACCTCAAACCCATATGGTCCTGTCCATCAATAAACCATCTTTCCAATCAGCCGCCATGTTTCCAGTGTCTTTCTCTCTGCTTGGAACTGAACCAGTTACTACAATTAGTTTAATGAAAAGAAGGACTAGGCGTGATATGATAGCAGTATTCCAATATCTAAGGGGCTGCCACAAAGAAGAGGGGGTCAACCTATTCTCCAAAGCACCCGAAGGCAGGACAAGAAGCAATGGATGGAAACTAATCCAGGAGAGAAGCAACTTACAATTAATTAGTGGAACGATTTGCCTCTAGAAGTTGTAGGTGCTCCAGTACTGGAGATTTTTTAAAAAAATATTGGACAACCATTTGTCTGAAATGTTATATGGTTTCCTGCTTGAACAGGGGGTTGGAGTAGAAGACCTCCAAGGTCCCTTTCAATTCTGTTATTCTGATTACTGTCTAAACTCTACCAAAAAAGAAAGAGATACTTTCTTCCTTTTTTTTTAAAAAAAAAAAGGTCTTGTAATAAGTTGTTTAGGGAATTCTTTTCTCCTGTTAATAAAACACTTAAAAGGAAACAAAAATGATTTAAAGCCAAGATTGTAAAGCTATTAATGACTCATAGTAGTCCTTTGCTCTTTTGGAGAGCAAAGGACGCAGATGCACTCCTGAAATTCAGGCACACCCGCATCCCAATTACAGCGGCCTGAATGGGGTTGCCTAAGCAACCGAAATATAAACAAGAATTCCCTCTGTGGGAGTTCTGCTGGCAATGCATCATGGGGTTTAGGTAACTGTTTGCAGGTTGTAGTTGGCAGTTACCGTGGTAACAAAGGGCCTAATAAGGGAAACCCTCAGGACTGACGTTGCCAACATCTGTTTACTCATCGGTGCCTTGCACGCAAGCTTTTTTCTTCATTCAGCCTGGGAAGGGAGGAAAGGAGGAAACACAGGTGAAGACCTTGCCTGGAAATTTCCACACCTGAAAAATATTTCTTCCCTGTAGTTTCTGAGACATAAATGGAAAGGAAGGACTTTTAATATCAAAGGAACGGTCCACAGACTACCTGTTCTAAAGGGCTTTAAGTGCATATAGAGTGGGTGTGTATTATATGTGGGCGGATGTGATGTGCGTGTGATCAAAAGCTGCAGCATGGGGTTAATGTGACATTTCACAAGGACAACTCAGATTTTCCACTGAGTCAGAAAATCATATATATATATTCTTTGGGGGGGGAGGGGCTGGAACCATTTACATACCCAAAAATGCAGTCACCCATATGCTTAAAAGGAAAGGCTGAGATCTGTTATGCCATATTATGCAATTCTCTAGGTAGACATATCTTTGAATTCTCAATCGGTCCCACTTAAAAATTTGCCAGGGATAATTGTAATTCAACAATGCAAGGACTGCTACAGGTGTTGGGGGAGAGGGTTTTATTAAAATCACTTAAATGCAATCACTTAAACATGAGCCAGGTGTGTGCTGCAGCAGCCAAAAAAACTAATACAATCCTTGGTTGTATAAACAGAGGCATAGAATTAAAATCACGTGAAGTATTAGTACTGCTTTATAAAACTTTAGTAAGACCACATCTGGGATATAGCATCCAGTTTTGGTCACCACGTTACAAAAAAAGATATTGAGACTTTTTGGAAAAACTGCAGAGAAAAGCAACTAAATGCCTGGAGACTAAATTTATTTATTTATTGGTTCAATTTATATGCCACCCTTCTCTGGAGACTCAGGACATCTTACAATGCGTTAAGCAATAGCCTTCATACTTTTGTATATACCTGCTTAGTAGGGCTTTCGCCCGCCCCTCCCCCCCAGCGGTGTTCTTTTTTATACAAAGTCAGTTTATTGCCCCCACAATCTGGGTCCTCATTTTACCTACTTCGAAAGGATGGAAGGCTGAATCAACCTTGAGCCTGGTGAGATTTGAACTTGCAGTAATTGCAGGCAGCTGGTGCTACTTAATAGCACTTTAGTCTGCTGCGCCACCAAGGCTCTATATATGAAGAACAGTTGCAGGAACTGGATATGGCTAATCTAGAGAAAAGAAGGACTGGAGGTGATATAATAGCAGTATTCCAGTGTATGAAGGGCTGCCACAAAGAAGAGGGGGCAACTTATTTTCCAAAGCACCAGAAGGCAAAACAAGAAACAATGGATGGAAACTAATCAAGGAGAGAAGCAACCTGGACTTAAGGAGAAGCTTCCTAACAGTGAGGACAATTAAACAGTGGAACAGCTTGCCTTCAGAAATTGTGGGTGCTTCATTACTGGAGCTTTTTAATAAGAGACTGGACAGCCACTTGTTTGAAATGTACAGGGTTTCCTGCTTGAGCAGGGGTTGGACTAGAAGATCTCCAAAGTCCCTTCCAACTCTTTGATTCTGATTTTTCTTGGAGTTTATAACTTGAGGGTGATTCTTACTTCCCCTGTGAAGACAGAAAGAGGGCTCTGGCCTGTACTCCAGTCTCTACAAAAACTCCACAACCCTTTCTTCTTCTTTGATGACCTAAAGTCATGGAAGCACAGAAGGGTCACATCACCGAGAGGGTTCCCAGTTTTCCTCCTTGGAAACTTTTCAATGACTAAACTTACCCTAATCGTAGAGTGGGCATTAATAATTGCCACAACCAAACTTAGTCACTCTGCTAGATCTCCAGGTGCACCTGAGACTTGAAAAATCAAAGCTTTTGGAAATGATAGGTCGGATTGCCCTATAAATCCTTAATCCACGCTCTGCTGGGAATTTCTCCTGATTAAGCCCAATTTGCTGCTCCCAAGGAATTAGTCATTCTATTGTCCTCGGGTACTTGCCTGAAGAAAGCAGGTGGGATTTTAGTATAACTGATGGTAGAATTACATTCAAAATATGTTTTTATATGGCTCATCTATCAAGGAGCTCATGGCATTGCTTCATCACTTTATCACCACAAAAAATCTGTGAATTTGATTAAGCTGAGAGATAGCTATTAATTTAAAACCACCCAGTGAATTTCATGGCTGAATAGGGCTTTGATGCTTTTTTTTAAAATTTAAAGATGCAATTTCATACTATCTTTTGGACTTTTTTCTATATGAAGTTTAGAATAACAGAGTTGGAAGGGACCTTGGAGGTCGTCTAGTCCAACCCCCTGCTTAGGCAGGAAACCCTACACCACTTCAGACAAATGGTTATCCAATCTCTTCTTAAAAACTTCCAGTGTTGGAGTATTCACAACTTCTGGAGACAAGTTGTTCCACTGTTCCAACTGTCAGGAAATTTCTCCTTAGTTCTAAATTGCTTCTCTCCTGGATTAGTTTCCATCCATTGCTTCTTGTCCTGCCTTCAGGTGCTTTGGAGAATAGGTTGATTCCCTCTTCTTTGTGGCAACCCCTGAGATATTGGAACACTGCTATCATGTCACTCCAGTCCTTCTTTTCATAAGACTAGACATATATAGTTCCAGCAACCATTCTTTATATGTTTTATCCTCCAGTCCCCTAATTATCTCTGTTGCTCTTCTCTGCACTCTTTCTAGAGTCTCACCATCTTTTTTACATTGTGGCGACCAAAATTGGATGCAGTATTCCAAGTGTGGCATTATGAAGGCATTATAAAGTGATATTAACACTTCACATGATCTTGATTCTATCCCTCTGTTTATGCAGCCTATAACTGTGTTGGCTTTTTTGGCAGCTGCTGCACACTGCTGCACACTGCTTAAATGGTTGTCCACTAGGACCCCAAGATCCCTCTTACTATTGAGCGAGGTACCACATATACTGTACCTGTGCATTTTGTTTTTCTTGCCTAAATGTAGAATCTTACTTTTTTCACTTAAGGGACCCTCAAGGAGCTGTGTGCCAAGGGACTCAAGCAAACCAACTACTTCTATTATCAAAAGAGAAAAATGAAAGAATAGTTTCGGGGAGGAAAAGAGAACTAAACTGTTTAACAAGCGATTAAACAAATCTCATGTTCTAAAAAGCCAAGCAGAATATAATATTTTTAAATAATGTAAATAGTTAATATAACATTTAAGTATTCCCAAGGGTAGGTCCTAATTCAGCTCCTTTTGGAAAAAAATCATCAGGAAGATATTGTTAAAAAAATATTTTGTCAATGCCATCTCATCAATTAAACAGTTTTAGTAGCAGAATATATAACATAGCTTGTAAAATGTATCTTAGTCTGGTTCATATGGGAAAATTTTTCAGAAATGTTCTCCTGGTATAGTTTTTTTAAACAATTCAATCCTATGAATCAGTCCCAGAAACAAATCATGTTGCTGATATCAGAAACAAATGTGACTAAAAGTGATCTACAAAATGCACATCAGTTAAAACTTTTGGAAACTTTTCAAGAGGTGAATGTGTTCTCACAGTGTAATGTAGGTGAGTAAGACAAGTATGCCTGTAGCTATTTTGCGATATTTCTATCACGTTGCATAAACTAGATAGTCTGAGTACTGAGTCCCAAGGAAAATGTCCAAGTCAAACACCTTTCAAACTGGATATCTGTGAATTAAGCAAATTCCAGAGCCCATCTTAGCTAGTCTTTTAATAGGACCTCTGTCTTGTTTGACTTCATTTTGCATGGATTTTCAGAAATGTAGTATCTGACTATTGTATGGCATTACTTTTCAAAACATATCTTTGATTATTGCTGTTTCATTCATGGTTCTCTCCGAACATTTTATTACATTTACCAGACATATAATGAAAAGGAGACAAAATAAGAACACAAAATTTAGTATATATAAAGCCATGGATCCCTTCAAGAAGTGTTGTGGGTTTGGTAAAGCTTGGATCAAATTTAATTAAACTATGGCAGTAAAAAAAAAAAAGATGTGTGCCAGGAACATCAATTAAATATGCAAGACAGTTATCAGCCAAGTGCCATTATGAAAGTCAGAATTGAGGAGGGGGGTGAATATTGCAGTTTATTAAGCAATCGCCACCACCCCACAACGTCTGATTCTTAAGCTCCTGTAGTTATGCAAGAACCTTGACATTCTAGCTCAGCCACTGCTCAGCATGAATTGCAAATATTATTTTTTGGAAGTTGCAACTTTGAATGTCTGCAAAGCTTGGAATTTGGAAACGAGCTATTTTCATGTCTATGGAAACTTTTTCCTGCATGTTGCCTCCAAGTTTCATGAACAACAAAAATCATCTAAATGGATATTAATCTTTCTGATGCATTTATGATCCCTTACACAATTCCTGGGTTTTAAAAGGATATTCCCTGCCTAGCTTGAATTTCCTGCTTATATATATACTGTGGGTTATCAAGAAACCTGGACATATTATTATTATTTTCAGTGGGGATTTACATGCAGGAAGAATAATAATGTCTTAATTGGCAATCCTCTCTTCCTTCGTAACAAGAGCTCAGGGCAGTTATTGCTGATTTAAAAAAAAACAACCAGGCAAATACATAAAGCATATACAGAAGACTTGGAGATGGGTGGGGGGAATGAAGCAATTATTTTCCTTTGCAGACAAGGACAAGATAAATGGATTTGTATCATGCTCGGATGCAGCACTGATCCAGTGGTGATTTTGCACTCTAATTGAGAAAAGTGCTGATTTTTACCCAGCTTGTTTCCAATATTTGAAACTGGCCTCCCGGAGGTTAAAGTATCACATGGTGAATTCAAATTGCTTTGGGAAAACCAAAGAGTGAAAAAAGGGTTGTGTGGAAGCAATCTCAGTCCCAGGCTTTAGTATTGACTCAGATAGGGAGGAGTATTGTGGTCCCCACAATGCTCCACTCACCGCATAGCTGGAACTAGTAAATGATAGAAGCCTCCAAGGGAGCTTCTCTAAGCTCTGTAGTTAGGATCATGGCTGGGAAGGGCGAAAAAAGTCCTGAGAATGGAGGGAAGGAGGGTAGGCAGGTCACCAGTAGAATCTGCAATGGTGTTACATGTATCATATATAACAGTGGTGGAATTCAATTTTTTTTACTACTGGTTTTGTGGGCGTGGCTTGGTGGGCGTGGTGTGGCTTGATGGGCATGGCTTGGTGGGTGTGGCAGGGGAAGGATACTGCAAAATCCCCATTCCCTCCCCTCTCCTGGGGGATGGATATTGCAAAATCTCAATTCCCACCCCACTCTGGGGCCAGCCAGAGGTGGTATTTGCCAGTTCTCCAAACTATTCAAAATTTCCGCTACTGGTTCTCCAGAACCTGTCAGAACCTGTTGAATAGCACCCCTGATATACGAGCAATGTGTCATTTCTTTCATGATGTTACAATACACGTGACACTACTTGCCCCTACAGCTTCCAATTGCCAAACTGGAGTCATATTCCCTGTGCATCAACTTCATCTGCAATGACATCAATTGCTCCAGCCATTCTCTCCCCCATCTTAACCCAGGCTCCCCACAACTTCACAATCACTGCAACTGTATTAATGTTTCCTCTTCTCCCCAATCCTTTCTTCTCCTGACCTTTCATTGGGGATTGTCGGTGATCGTTCTTCTATGAAACAGCTTGAGAATGATGAGTAGAAACCTGGCCTTTGGAGACTGATAGGAGTGTCACAAAATCCCAATAATTGCCAGTGAAGGTTCTTGTATATGAGCATCTCTTTATGGGTGCATGGATATATAAATGCATAAACAAACATGTGCACATACATAACTATAACTGTCTTATTATATAATAGTTATTCTGCGAATGAAGGCAGATACATGTGTCCCAGGATAATGTTTCAGGATCCAATCTGGGTTGGTCACTGGGAGCAGAGGTTTTGTCTTCTGAACTTTTGGACTCATGCTGGAATCTGAATTCTGAGAGAAGTTCCCTGAGGATGGGCTCCAGCATGAGTCCGAAAAGTTGGAAGACAAAACCTTTGGTCCTGGTGACCAACCCATATTGGATCCTGCAGTTATTATTTAATATTTTAATGTAAATCGCCTAGAAACCATGAAGACTGAAAATTGCATAAACAAACAAGCAAACAAACAGGTCTCTGTATGCATCCCAGGCCATTTCAGTATTCTGGCTATTATTACAGCAGCTCTTTTCTTGGTCTTAGGCCCTGTTTGTTTGTTTGTATTAGACACAGGGGATATGACTCTTGTTGTGAAGGTGGCAGTGCAGTTGGCTTCAGTGAAGCAGTTCCTATTGCCCCAAAGCTTGTTATTTTCGTTATTTGCCAAACACAAGACTCAGAGGGTCCTGAGCAGAATGGCACCTGTGCAAAAACCTAGTAAAGCATTCATGAAAGCAAGCTGGAGAAGTTGGAAAGGCTGTTCTCCAGGACAGCCTGCTAAAGGGGTTGGTCAGTAGCACACAGGCCAATAGTATGCTTTCTTATAGTAGTTACTAATGTTGAGCAGGTGCTGCTAGCTTAGCTGCAGTGGAGAGGTCTACAAAGTTTGCTATTTTGCTTGACTAGAAAAGCATTGGGGCGGTGGGCTTTGTAAAACAGCTTCGGGGAAAGATAAGTGAAGCTCGCTTTTGAAGACTCCATAGGACTATCTTTTATTAATGAAAAAAAAATGTCCATGAGAGACTGAGATCTAGACATGGAACTCATAGTCAACATTTATGCAGAGGTTTAGGGTTAGGGTTTGGTGCAAGTAATTAAAAGTAAGTCAATATTAAGCTGCTTTACGGTGCATTTTTCTGATGAACCCCATGAAAATGATCTTCCTGCATTTCCTAGGAATGCTTGGATCTGAACTCCAATCTATCTGAAAAACAAGGAAAGGAAAGACAACAATTTCTCCCAATCAAAAGACAAGATGTTACTTTATAACAGAGGTCTTCAAACTTGGCAGCTTTAAGACTTGTGGACTTCAACTCCCAGAATTCTCCAGCCAGCTGCCAAGTTTGAAGACCTCTGCTTTATAATAACATGCAAGAGCTCTGCTTATAATATACCCATACTGCATTTATTGTATTTATTAAAAAATATTTACAAAAAAAATTGGTACACAGGTAGTCCTCAACTTACGACAACGGAGCACCAAAATTTATGTTGCTAAGTAAGAAATTTATTAAGTGAGTTTTCCCCCATCTTATGATTTTTCTTGCTACATTTGTTAAGTGAATCACTGCAGTTACTAAATTAGTAACACCGTTGTTAAGTGAATCTGGCTTCCCCATTGACTTTGCTTGTCAGAAGATCACAAAAGGTGATCACATGACTCCGGGACACTGCAACCGTCATAAATATGAACCAGTTGTCAAGCATCTAAATGTAAATCACATGACCATGGGGATGCTGCAACGGTCATAAGTCACTTTTTTGGTGCTGCTGTATCTTCGAACGGTCACTAAATGAAATGTTGTAAGTTGAGGACTACCTGTATATAAAAGTTATAAAAATCAGGCAAATTCCTAATGAAAAGGTTTTTGGCCTGAATACAGACTTATAGTATTGAGCTTATTCCAGTTTCCAATTCATAAAGCTAGCAATTTGAAAGTTAAGTACTTAACAACTGTACAATGAATGTTGTAGTCTTTGCTGAACCTCATCTGCTAAAATAGATTTAGAAGTGTCACTCCCTCTAGCCTCATATCTATAAAATGCAGAGCAGTTGAACTTCTTCAGTCTCTGCCTGGATTCATCCCTCCCAAACCCGAGTGTGACATGAAATACTAATGAAAATTATTTAGGAGAAAGTATTGAACAGGGCTGAATCCAGCGAAATGGTAGGAAAAAAAAATGAAGAACAAAGCAAAGCTAAAAGGGGGAAAGCTTCATAGCCCTCCCTACTAGCTAGCGCTATGTAACAAAAGCTATCTTTAAGTCAGCAACATGGTGCTTTGTATTTGTAATTAGATTTCTCCACTTTGGAATTAAGCATTGACATATTCCCATGTTAAAAATAATGCATGTTAGCAGAAATGCCAATGACTTTATCATTCCCTGATTACAGAAACTCTCAGTCTCAGCTTGCAAATTGGTTATCTCTCCCTGATTAAATGTGGGTTTTCTAATTTAAATTGATGTCAGAGTTAAATGGCTTGATCGACCGCATAAGCACTTATGAAATAGCACAAAGACACTCCAGTCTCTTTGTTGGCAATGTTTTACTTCCCTTTCAAACCATGTTTGCCCAATTCTCTCAAACATCTTTCTTGTGTGGAAGGGGAAAAAAATAAATAAATTCCAACAGAAATCGTTCTAAAGACAGAAAGAGTTCCAAACAAATAAATTAATCCCAGTTCACTGTTTCCCAATCTGTCTTGCTTTCTGAAATCGTAAAGTTTCAAAAATCATTTGAATATTACTGACACAGTTGAAACTAGTGGTTATGATTCAGGAGCTAGCTATTGATCAATCGGTAAGGTAAAGGGAGTTCAATACTGAGAATTAGATCATCACAGGCCTCCCTATTTGAATACCAGCAAGTCACTGAGGTGGATTATTTATGCGTTATTTCATATGGAGGCAACTAGCAGTCCCAGAGATTTATATTCCCTCACATCTCCTGGATCAGTCTGTGGAACATCTTCAAAACTAATTTTAGGACTCTAATTTTTAATGAATCTGAAAAACAAATTCATTCAAAGACAGTGATATTAGTCATGTCATACAACCAATTAAACTGAATTTCAGGGGATCAGATCAAATGAAGAATATTATCCTGGCCCTGCCACCATTTTGGAAAAACTCAGTGGCCACGTGCAATCCTCAAACTAAAAAAAAACCTTGCATACCCCGTTTCTTTGGTGTGAATATGTGAGGATTTTAAACAGGGAAGCGGCATATAAGCAACTCTAACCCAGCCTGTATGCTTCTTCATGCTTCTTCCAAACTTTAGGCTACCTAAATTAATATGAGGGATTTTAGGCCTCTGCTCTTGAATGAGTTTGGAAGCCTCCCTCTGATTGTGAATCTCTGATAATGCAAAATGTCTCTGTTTAACACCAAAACAAAACCAAAAAGCAGCTGGAGGTTGGCATCCTAATACTCACCAGTCTCATTTTACTTGCAACAAGCACAGCTGGCACCAAGTAACTACCTATATATACAGGATTTTTAAGCATAGTCTTATTGTTCCCCTTAGATTCACAATGTAAAAAAGCTGATTAATGCAGGGGAGACTATTTAGTCCGGTGGTTTGAGATGTGGAGGGGAGCATGCAATTCCATTTCAATGTCTAATCCACCTGCCTGTGTGTTCAGATTCATATGGAAAGGATGTGGAGGTGGTAGTGAGGAGAAGGGAAGATGCAATACAGTCCCGGCTTACCTTGAAACTAAATTGCTCGGAGACGAGACAGAACCTGTCTTGAATCTTCAACCTCAACATACAATAAATAAACCTCCAGCCCTACCTGTGCCTCCAGTCCCACCCCTTCAGTTGCATGTCTGAAAACACAGGCTCAACTCAGACAAGATACGAGTCGGACCTGCCACCCAGCCCTGAGGACCGGAGTCTGTTGAGTCAGGGCTCTGGTTCAAATTAAGAAGAGAGGGTAAACTTCCTAATTGTTTTGTTTAAAAACAAAACCCAACCGAAAGAGGCAGCCAATTAGCTAGATAGGGACCAGAGGCCTGGTGAGATCATCGTCCTCACGTTTTTTTAGGCAACACAACCTACAACCTATAATCCACAAATGAGCTGTGGGCCTAATTAGATGCTATTTTTACATTTCCTAGAACTGATTAGATACACTTGAAAGTGCTGTGTTACATCCTTAGGATAAAGCACTATTCATATTCATAAGGCATTAGGAGCGTGTTTAGAAGTTGGCTATGCGGAATATGCCAGCTTGTATCTCTCCAATAAATATGCTGCTACTAAACCGGAGGAAGGGCCAGAAAAATCCACATACAATGACATCACAATGCCTTTCTTGGCATCTCACAATGCATAAGGACACATATGATGCTGTCCATTTATATCCCACCTTTCTTCCCAGTTCCTTTAAAGTTTCCTTGTCTGAGATAATATGATATCCAATCATATTAGGTGTTATGTATTGAGTATAAATGGTTGTGTTGAGCCCTGCTAGAGTGAACTAATCTTTAGATGACCCTGGCTGTTGACTCCAACTGTTTTGGAAGGAAACTTGATAAATTCATATTTGGGTGGGCTTTTTCAGGGACTGTGATTGGTTAAGATCCTGTGGGCCTAAAGTTAAAAATTACAGGCATTTGCCTGCTGTTCCTCAGTTCCAGTTTTGAGTCAATAAATGTTGTTGTAGCCATGCTGGTCTGCTTCTTGCCTACTGAAGCCCACTATACAATATTGGGCATTTGAAGATTTCAGCTTCAGCTCCTTCCTTCATGAGATCTCTCATTAATTCACGCTGCAAATTTCCATCCATGCTATTTTTTATTTTATTTTTTACAAAAAGCCAGGACATTCAGGTACCAACTCATTCACACGCTCCTCAAACCAAGAAATTCTAGGCTCTGCCGCTTTAATGATGGAAATGTATGAAAAGAGGAGACAAGTCTGAAGACATGAAGATATATATATATTTTTAATGGCATCAAATCAAATCAAGGAGTGAAAAACACAATATGCACAATGGTGGCTGTTCAGTCCCCAAGTCTCTTCCAAAAACTTGGAAAATTGTTGTTAAAATAGAGTGGGTAATCTTTAAAGAGTCAGAGACTAGCATTAGGTTTCCTGAACTTTTAGAGGGTTGCAGGCAGGGGTGGGTTCTACTTACCTTTACAACCGGTTCTCAATGGGATTGCTCGAGCACGCTTGCTTTGCTCGCGTGCGCGCCTTGCTTCTGAGCATGCGCAGATAACTTCTGATGACATCAGGGTCAGTGGGTGGAGCCTCCCGCCGGTTTTACTACCAGTTCTGTAGAACCAGTCCGAACCGGGGGCAACCCACTACTGGTTGCAGGAGACAGTGATGATGTCACAGAAAGGGACATTGCTATTTTTTTTTTTAAATGATTTGGAGAGTTAAAGATGGGAATGAGAATTGGAGGCTTTGGAGAAGCAAATTTTTCCAATCCCACCTTTAAAACGTCCAACTCTCCCTCCCTCTCCCAACAAACAAAATTCCAAATTTTGTCAGTTTTCTGTGGCAAACTGGATGGAGCACATTCAGCAGACATTTCCCCCCCAGAGGTTTTAAGGGTACAATGGAAATGATATGCTTCCAAGAGGCCTTCCTGGGATAACATTCAAATCTTTGCCTTAATAGCAATAGCAATAGCACTTAAACTTATATACCACTTCATAGTGCTTTTACAGCCTTCTCTAAGTGGTTTAGAGTCAGTCTGTTGCCCCCAACAATCTGGGTCATTTTACCCACCTTGGAAGGATGGAAGGTTGAGTCAACCTTGAGCCGGTGAGATTCGATCTGCTGAACTGCAGCTAGCAGTCAGCTGAAGTAGCCTGCAGTACTGCACTCTAACCATTGCGCCACCTCAGCTCTTAAAACACATACACACAAACACATATATTATCGTTTTAGCTTTTGTTTATTCACTGCAGGATGAAGGTCTCTTCTGCACGTTTCCATCCTATGTGGTCCTGGGCTTTCTTTTGCCAACTGAGCCCGCAATTCTTGCTGATGTCATCAATCCATCTTGTTTTAGGTCTTTTTTTGTGGGAAATTTATCAAGTGGGATCTGTTCTATGACTGCCTTGGTCCACCTGCCATCAGTTCTTCTTGCTACGTGAGCAGCCCATTTCCATTTCCATTCTTTTACTCTCTTGATGATATTGTATGTTTTCATTTGAGCCAAGTTGTTTAATAAATTAATAAATCAATATAAATATAGCAATGTGAAAAATCAACCATTGTGCTGCCAGGTTTTGATGGGACAGCTTTAGTATGCTGGGAGCTGCATGCCACTTGAACACAGCTGGCTTTTCAGCATGCTGTAAAATCATAAGAAAGAAAGAAAAAGTGAAATCCAGTGAAGGAAAAGCAATTAGTAGTGAACCTACCAGCAAGCTTTCAAAAGGCAGAAGAATTGCCATTAGTCTCACAGATAGAATTTATTGCTAACAGCCCTGAGGGCTGAAGGACCAAGCTGATAAAGCCACAGTGGAAGATGAGTGTGCACAAGCAGATAAGTTGGGCCACATGGCTTCTGCTCTACAGGTGTCGTTGCTAAACATAACATTTCTGACAGGTTCCACACAGATGATTAATAGCATCAACAGGTGTCTAACAAGTTGCATACATCAAGCAGGTTTTTAAGTGAAGTCATGGGGAGGGAGGAATTTTTAAAAGGTAATGGTATATTCAGAAAGAATTAGCTTGTCAAATGAAATGAGTATTAAATATGGTCGTGTTCATGAAACTGGGTTGTAAATTGAATTCATAATTGGCTGAATTATGCAATGGAGTTTCATCAAAGAGGTGAAACCCCAAAGGTGCTTGTGTGTCAATTCACATTTTCCCTAATCATCAGCTTGTTGACTTCATTTTCATAAGCTCAGAAGATTAAGGCTGGTTGTCTAACCTGCTCCAACCGTCCAACCTCCACCTGTCATAAATCACACCTGAGCTGTGCAGAGTCATCCTAGATCAGTTTCCAAAAGAATGGCAATTGATGGATGGAAGCAGAGGTGGCGGGGCAACGGTCATAGGCAGAGACAGAGCAAAGGCAGTCTAGTTCTTTGCTTGAACATAAATATGAAGATCTGAACCTAGTGGAGCAATGTTAAGATCCATCCTCTTGAGCAATAATTGCATGGCTAAAGACCATAAAACATAGAATAATAGAATTTATTTATTTATTTTATTTTATTGAATTTGTATACCGCCCTACTCCCGAAGGACTCAGGGCGGTGAACAGCCATAGAATTGGAAGGAACCTTGGAGGTCTTCTAGTTCAATCCCCTGCTTGAGTAGAAGACCCTATACCAGGGTGAGCAACTGTGGCCCTTTTACAACCTGTGGGCTTCAACTCCCAGAATTCCTGAGACAGCCAAGCTGGCTCAGGAATTCTGGGAGTTGAAGTCCACAAGTTGTAAAAGGACCACAGTTGCCCATCCCTGCCCTATACCATTTCAGACAAATGGTTGTCCAGTTTCTTTTTGATAGCCTCCAGTGATGGAACACCCACAACTTCTGAGGGCAAGCTATTCCATTGGTTGATTGCTCTCACCAGTTTTTAAGATGGGACCAAGCTTTGGGATTGATCCTAGAGTAACCCAAGTTACCCAACCTTCATTGCAGTATGAAGTATTGAGGGATTAACAGCTGCTATGAAGCCCTTATGATTGGCAGGCCTAACAGATATGTGAACGAAACAGCAGCTCCATTTTTCAGGTGCTATCTGAAGTTTTCCATGCCAACCACAGTTCAGGGGATCGTGAACAAAAGACATATTGGGCTTAAGATATCCAAATCCTTAACTCAGACCCAACATACAAAGAATTTAGAAGAAGAATTTTCATAGGCCCTGACAACTAATAGAAGGCTCAACAACCCAAGGACCCTTGAATGACCAAATCATGTCCTTAAATTGTAATGTTTCTGTCCTGGAAGAGAGTGGAAGCAATTCATTGAAATGTGCAGCATGGGTTATGGTGATCTAAAAACTACTAGATGATATATATGTTAGGGATAAATGTGGGCTGTCTGTATCTGCTGATGTTCCTGATATCACAAGTGGGCACCACACTGTATTCCTGCAAAGAAATGAAAAGCTGTTTCTGCAGATTCAGCTTCATGTAGGCAACTGTGCTGCTTATAGTCCATAACGCTTCCAATGCATAGCTGTCAAAAAACCAGCCTGACAAAATTAAGAAAACTGAATCATACTGCATGCATTGCTATTTTTTATTTTTTAAATCTACCTGATTAAAATATTTTTGTTGGGTTCTGTCCTAGAATATCCCGTTTTGCATAGGACATGCAAATTCTATGAAAATAGAGGGATAAGTTTGCAATGTCACCAGAAGTCAAATATTCTAATCCTTCTACTTAACTCTGCTGCCTTTTCAGGAACTTGTAGAGCTTCCTTATAAGAATTGTATACGGTAGATCTTACAGATCCAATCATTGTCCAGAGACAATGCATGCATCTTCTGCTTCTTATGGATCAACTTTATAATGTACAGAGAAAGCAGCCAAGTTCAGGGGCAGGGAATTTGTGGTGGGTAGGGTGTGTTTGGGGATTGTTATGTGTGTTGGGCCTGGTCTTTGTGTGTTAAGTGAATTTTGTTGTATGGGTATACTGTGTATATATGTACAATGACAATAAAGTTAAATTTAAGATTTATCCAATGAGATTCGTTAAAACCCAATCAGATTGCAATCTCAGTTCTCTTTTCTGAGTCTTCCAATATAGTCTCAAATCCAGCCAACCAGTTTGACAAACCATCACAAAACCTCTGTCATTTCAGCTGGGAAACTCAATATTCTCCCCGTTTGTTATGTATCATTTTGATGATTTGTGACACTAGAAAGCAGCATACATTTCCAATGTGCAAACTCCTGGTTATCATGTGAATCATTTTTAAAGGAATATTTCCTAGACACATTTCACCCTCTTTTGTATAATCCTGACCTCCCAATGTTCTGAAAGAATGCATCGTAGGAATGACCAATAGGCTATAGACTCATTTGTTTAATTATTGGACCCATATCATTCTTGAGAAATCAAAAATTAGCCAACTCTGGACTTGCTATTAAGGCAAGAGACTTTGTAATTGTTTTAGACTATAGATTAGCACAACATCCTGCTAAGGCTCGTGTGAGCTGAAATCCAAATACCTGGACAAAAATTCTACTATAATGTGAAATTGAACTTAGCTTAGGGCTGAGTAATATAGGGCTAGGTACTCATGATTTTGCTGCACTGCAAATTCCAACATCTCTCACCATTG